TGGTGATTGTCCTAGACTCCCACATGGTCAACTGTGGTATGAGTCCCAGACTTGACAGCTCGCTCTCTCTCTCTCTCTCTCTCTCTCTCTCTCTCTCTCTGTGTGTGTGTGTGTGTGTGTGTGTGTTTTCCTCTCTGTCTCTCTGGTGAATGCATATGCCCCATAGTAAAAATAATAACAATAAATAAAATAATACTTAAAAAAAAAAAAAAAAAAGCCTGGTCGAGGAGTCCTAGAATGACATAGGATCACAGCTTCAATCTGTCTTTGTTTATTGAAGGGCTCAGCTAAGGGCCTAACCATCAGTTTCCTCATTTATAAAATAGAAAAAAAGGGGGAAAGGAGAGGGATAAGGAAGGGCTACGATGGTCACGTGAAATTGTGCACTCATACCTTATAAATTACAGAGAGCCATACAATTGTAAATCTCTCATTATGATTCACCTTAAAAGTATGTGATACTTATGGCGTTGATTAAGCTGTTTTTTTCCACAGAAGTATGTGTTTAAGTAGAAGGCAATATTTGTGGGTTTTAATCATACTTAGCTGCCTGAGTGCTTAAGTTGTCATTTCTTAAGAATTTTCCTTCTGTCACATGATTCAGTTTAGATATCCATTATTCCACTTGAAAGATGGCCTTGTGTGTGGTTCAACCTGGTGGTAACACTAAATGGCTAAGGTGATACATGAGGTCTGGAGCTAAAAAATGTGTAATGATATTATTAGAAGGTTAATCAGCCAGAGATATTAGACTCTAATTCCTCTTCACTGCTGGGTGCATTGTAAGGCGGATGTTAGAGGGGGAGGTTCAGGAATACAACTGGTCAGAGCGTAATAACAGACACCATATGGTAAATGGTCAAACCCAGGGGGTTACCCCAGCTTTCAGGTGCTATCTGGTCTCATTTACTGATAGTGGAACCTGAGCACAGCTATGATAAATAAACTCCTGGTGTGTTTCTTTTTCTTTTTTTTTTTTTTTTTTTAAGTGTTAGATAGATAGCTTCTTACTGAGGGAGGCAAGATCCTTGGTTCCATCAGCTTATCTTACATATTGTTTGAACAATTATGGGGCCAGGACTCGACCTAGTTGACATATGCTGGTCAGACCATATCTAGAATATTGTGTTTGCCTTGGGTGGGGGAAGGGGACATGTCTTAAGAAAGTCACTGGCAACTGAAATGTGAGAAGGTCTAGGAACTCTCTGGAGATCATATTATGATAAGATTTAAGGAACTCTTTTTTTTTTGGAAAAAAAAGAGTTAGCAGAAGAGGAAATGAGTGACACAGTCCCAGGAACTCTGCAAGTTTACAAGGGAGCCAAAGACATGGAAAGGGAATTTGGGTTATTTCCTGCAACTCTAGAAAGCGCCCTATTACACATCTTAGTTCTCAGTGGCCTCATTTGTAAAACCAGGGGTTGAACTGTCTCCCAAAGGTCCTACTCAGTGCTCAAGTCCTCACTCGCCAGGTCCGGTGAGTGGGCATCCTTGGAAGATAGACTTCTCAGAGTGAGTTTGCTGTTTAAGAATGCAATGTTCCAATGACGCACTCTCCAAAAGAAATCTAACGTGAGCCACATGTGTAATGTTACATTTTCTAGAAGCCACATTTTACAAAGAAACAAGTGATATTATTTCTAAGAATATGTTTTATTTAACCCAATATACCTAAAATGTTTTCATTTTATTATGTAATTAGTGTAAAAAATTGTTAATGACAGGGGTCAGCAGGTGGCATGGAGCTTAAGATGGCTGGACCCCACATAGCTGACACCACACTCAGAATCCCAGACCAGCAGTTCGAAAATCGTGCCAGACATGTATTTGTGTGTGTCCCAAGTCCCAAGAGAACAGAAGGAGGGATTGCAGTGTGGCTGTCTCCCATGGGGGGTGACTTCTTACTTTCCCTCTGTCTCTGTCTTTCTCTAGTTGAGTACACATGCTCTGTAGCAAAAAAAACTTTTTAAAAATGTATTAATAACATAATGCACCCTTTTTTTTTTTCATACTAAGCCTTCAAACTCTGTGTGTTGAACTCACTAAACATCTCAGTTTGGACCAATCATTTTTCAAGTGCTCAGTTGCCACCTGTGTCTTGAGCAGCACAGCTTTAAGGACCAGGTGAATACTCGCCACATGTCAGACCCTGGTGAAAGGATTTATATTCATCTTTTTATTCAATCCCTGCTCAGTCCTCTGCAAGAATCCCTTCTTATAAATGGAAAGAATGAGCCTGTAGAGATTACATAACTTGCACAAGTTCACACAGCCAGGAAGCAATGGGAGCCCAGATCTGCCTTAGGTCTGTCTGACTCTGAGGTCCTTAACCATTAGCCACATGGTGGGGGAGGTAGCTGAGTTCTCTGTCATGGGACTGGTTGGTTACTTACGGATGCACGTCTGAAGTAGAACTGTAGCAGTGAATGCTGCAGGCCTCACGTAAAACCGAACTCCGGAGAAATGGGCTGTGTGAGCACTTGGTACTCCTGCACACATAAGCATTCTTCGTTCCTGGCTGGACACATCTTAGTAACCCCAGCTGTTTGGCCATTAGACAGCTTCTCTGAAGATGACCCAGGGGTTTCCCAGAAGTGTATATCCTCTGTAGTTCCTAGAATACTATTTTAAATAAGAAGCAGTCACTGTGTTTACATTTATTTATTTATTTTGGAGAGGTTTTTGCTATAGGGCACGTGCACTCACCAGAAAGAGAGAAAGAGAGAAATCATGCCCCAAGGGGGGATGGCCACACTGCAATCCCTTCTCTTCCATTCTCCTCTCAGGATCTTGGGCATGCACGCACATGCGCCCGACATGAGTTTAAACCACCGGGTCCGGGATTCAAACTGCGGTAGACTACATGGGAGTCCACTGACTTAGCCATTACCCCAACTGCTGGCCCTGTGTTTACATTTTTTTAAACCATCCAAAGCTTTCCTCTTTAGCTCTGTGTTCCTGTTTAATACAGGCATGCTTACAACTGGAGGAGGGCTCATACAGGGAGGAAAAGATATGTGACTTTCTAAGCCACAACCACTGTAGGGTCGTGCCACCTCCCACGTGGCTATAATTAGCTACGTGCCTACCTTGGACTCTCAGAGGAGCACGTCACTGTGCCTTCCCAGGCAGCCTGTAAATCCCCAACAGTGAAGGGTCATGGGGCCAGAGGAAGTCGTTCTCCAAAGGCGAGGGGGAAGGGAGAAAGGAAGCCACATTGTGAGCCTTGTCCTGTGGCCTTGTGATAGATAGAAAACAAGAATAATCACGTTTCAGGTGGCTTATTGGATTTTGTCCTGTTTTCCAAAGTCATATATATGAAATTAACTTAGAGGGTTTCCTCTGTCTTTTGGGAGCAGTTGCCCCTGTGTTCAAAATGCAGAAGTTGTATTTTTATTTCCAATGTTCACGCTGGGTGAACATTTCCTGCTGCAGTTTAAGAAGAAATTCACCCTCCAGTGATATCATGTGTCTCTGAAAGAACTAAAGTTAAGCACAGTAACGGCTGTGATACGAGTAAAACTTCAGACCTCGATTAGATCTGTTTATAATTTACGATAATGTCTGTGGGTTTCATTTTTCTGGAAGGGATGCTATTTCCAATATTACGATTCCCACTTTTTGTAAACGTGAACAAATTATACCATTTACTTTTCATGTTAAAATCTTTTTACATAGTTACATAACCCAGTCCCTAATTAGGAAGAGGTAACTGGGCTAGCTCTATGGCCTGGTGATTAAAGGAACCAGATTCCACATGGCGAACCGCATGGTTCAAATCCTGGTGACTTGAAAAACACACAGAGTGCTTGTGCATGCCCAGAATCCCAACGAGGTGGAGGAATGGAGGAGAAGAGATTGTGGTGTGACTATGCCCCATTGAGGGATGCTTTCTCCCACCCCCTCTCTCTCCCTGATTCTTGGCAAGTGCAGGTGCCCTTTGGCAAATTAAGAGAAAGAGAAGGGATTGCAGTTTGCCATAAAAAAAAAAAACACCCATGGTTTTAGCATTTCCTGAGTTTGCCTGCTCTTACCTTTTTACTGAGTAGCTATTCTATTCTGTACCACCTGAAGGTACAGCTCTGGCCTGGCCTCTCAGCTGCTCAGACCCTGGGACCCCAGCCCTCTTACGTGCCCTGTCAGCCAGCCCCTAAGGCCTCTGCAGGACTTCTCCCACTGTCTTCAGGCTGCTCAGTAACCTTCTCATAGCAGGAAAGGTAATAGCGGGTCTGGCTCCTGAAGGCTCATAGTGTATTAGATAGGCTAGAAGTTTAAATGCTGTTAGCCAGGAAGGGAGGATATTATATGATTCTTGTGCTATCTATAGTTGCAAGCCGTATCAGCAGCTCTGTCCCTCCTGCCCATCAAAAAGTAGCCTCAGTCTAAATAGAAGAAAATGTATGTAGATAAGGAATCTTGGGACATACTTGTACCCCAGGATAATCCTTCCACATCAAGTGTACAAAGCCCCAACCTCCTTTGAAACATCCACAAGCTTTCAGGAGCCTTGGAGCAGACCTGGTGAATTTCTGCAGGAATGTTTTATTTTAAGAGATTATCTTTGAAGCTTCATTTTGTACATGTTTGTGCACTCCCTTGGGAGAAGCAGAGATTTCAACATCAGGTCTGCTCTTTTTTTTTTGAAGAGGTTTTTGCTATAGGGCGCGTGCGCTCGCCAGACAGACACAGATAGACAGAGAGACAGAAAGCGAGAAATCACCCCTCCCCCCAGGGGAAATGGCCACGCTGCAATCCCTTTTTTATTATCCTCTTGGGATTTTGGGCATGCACACACACATGCCTGGCATGAGTTTCAAGACTCTGGGTCCAGGACTTGGACACACACACACACACACGCCTGGCATGAGTTTAAGCCACCAGGCCCGAGACTTGAACCGTGGTCAACTACCTGGGAGTCCAGCAACATAGCCATTACGCTAACTGCTGGTCCTCAGGTCTGCTCTTTGAAAGTCTCTCTCTTCTTTGTCTATTTTATAAAGGACCAAAAAGCTGATCATTGATGTCATCCGGAACCAGTCAGGAAGCACATTGACTGAAATCTTAGAAACACCAGCAACTGTACAACAGGTAATTTGTCTTTAAGAAAATACTAAGTTTAATAGACAGGAGTTTTCTTAATACATTTTTATGTCAAATATATACTGGTAACTGAGAGAAATTGAATCAGACAGGTTTGGAAGTAAAGAATTTCTCTGTTGTCCACTGGGTTCTGTCATATATAAAACCGTTGTGAAATATCAATGGGAATGAAATAGAAAATATAGTACAGCATGTATGCTGAACGTAACATTCTCCGGCACTACAAAAATAGTCTGAGTCTTTTAAAGCCTTGGAGTAAAATTCAGGGACAGGCGATAAAGTGCACCAGTCTGCAAGGTAGTCCTTCAGGGTTCCTGGTTCACATTTGAAAGCTTCCTGAGCACGCCAGGCACACCCGTGCCCATGATCCGGCCTGGCTGAAGGGGGGTCGATCATGGCATCAAGACCTTATTGTAGGGCTGTGTCTGCCCACCTCTCTCGTGGAAGCAGTACATAAACTGTAACAGCTTCATCACACAGTAGGTGGGTAAACAAGTGAGTCAAGAGACAGTTCTGGGACAGGATGTAGAAAATACCTTACAAATTTGATGCACTTGCTAACTCTAAGAAACAAAGTGTCTCACATTTAAAAGCTGCTTTTAGCTGCTTCAGAAGCAAATATCTTTTTTTTTGGCAGGGGGGGAGCATGAGGTCAGAGGGCATGTGTGCTTACCAGAGCAAGAAAGAGAGGAGAAAGGAGAAAACATCCCCTAATGGGGCACGGTCACAGAGCAATCCCTTCTTCTCCATTTCTCCATCTGGGGCATGTACCTGCATGCACCCAGCATATTTTTCAAGCCGCTGTTTCCAAGACTCGAACCACATGTCAGCTGTGTGGGATCTAGCTCTCTTTTTTTTTTTTTTTTTTCTAAAGAGGCTTTTTGCTTAAGGCACATGCACTCACTGGAGAGAGAGAAAGACGAGACAGTGAGAGGGAAAGTGAGAAATCACCCTCCCCCGAGGGGGAATGGCCACGCTGCAGTCCCTTCCTCACCATTCTCCTCCCAAGATCTTCCACAGGCACGCGCACACACACCCTGCGTGAGTTTCAAGCCACTGGGTCTAGGACTCAAACTGCAGTCAGCCATGTGAGAACCCAGCGATGGACCTCTGTGCCCTCTGCTGGCCCCAGATCTGACTCCCTTAAACACTAGGTCAAAGGCTGACCGGAAGTTTGCGTCCTTTGAGTCAGAGCAGCATTATGTTGGTATAAGCTAACTAAACGTCCATAACTATCTTGGATTCAACTTTCTGCTAATTTTTTTTAAAAGCACCATTGTTTTGTTCATTCTGAGATCATTTCAGCATTTTTGTTTTACTACCGATAATCGTCACTGCCTAAACAAGCTAACACATTATATAATTCGTTACTACTTTATCGGCTATTTCATTTGCCCTCTGATATATCAGGTCAGGTTCCTAAGGACACAGACTTCTGGAATCAAGCACAGTTCTGTACCTCATAGCTGTACCTTCTGGGTACTTAGAAACTGTTCTGAGCCTCAGTTTCCTCAACCGTAAAACGGTAATAATTGTACTACCCAGGATTAATGAGTAAACGCATGTTCAGTGGATAGAATAGTACCTGGCACACGTCAAGTGCCCAGTGCGGCTAGCCAGTGCTGCTCTTGTTTCCTGCTGGCCTGGTAGACAACTCCTGTTTCCAGACTATTGCCCTAGCTCTTCTCTGTCTAATAACAGTTGTAGCCTAAGAATTCATCCACTGGGTCAGTCGACTGTGTAGTACCATGAAATGAGAAGATCACCAGTCTCTCTCTATTACTGTTTCTATTTTCTTGCATAAGAGGTCTTAATGATATTAATTCATTTATTCACTTACATTGGAAACTTATGTGCTAGAATATTCTTATTCCCTTTGGGTTAAAAAGAAAGAAAGAAAAAGAAAAAAAAAAACCTGAAGGTTTTCCATACTTGGTAGGGTGAAAGTGATTCTAAATTATCAAAATGAAGTGCCTCACTGTTGAGTTAGCTAATGAATCTCCACAAATATGGCTGATGTGTGAGAAATTAGTTGGGCCATGATCATTCAAGGTTTTCATAGGCACATTTTAATGAATAATCAAGTTTTAATTTCCTCAGCCCGACTCTCCAGTAATTGAAATACTAGAGAATGCAGTACCAGCAGTTGGCATGATAGCTATGTTATTGGACTCCCATGTAGTCGACCATGGTTCGAGTCCTGGACCTGGTGGCTTAAATTCATACCTGGTGCATGTGCGTGCATGCCCAAGATTTCAAGAGAGTGGAGGAGAAGGGACTGTAGTGTGGCCATCTTCTCTGGGCAGTGATTTCTCAATTTCTGTCTGTCTTTCTAGCGAGAACATGCACCCTATAGCAAAAACCTCTCAAAAAAAAAAAAAAACAACTAGGGAATGCCTAGGGAATTACAAAGTAGCAATTTTTTGTTAAAACCTATCCATTACTAACGTGATTTGTCACTTTGGCAATAAAGGAGCCATGCACTGCCTAAATTAGGTCTGTAGTTGCTGCTGTGTTATCCAAAAAGATGTTGTAATTCCTTCCAAAGACCTACTTCAGAACCCATAAAGAACAGGTGCTGGTTTTAGTCTTTGGACTTTGACTTGAAACTTCTTTCCTTTTGACATTAACTTGCCTTGCGTTAAGTTCCAAACCTGTATGATTAGAGAGATCAGAAAAAAAATCAGATCTTCTTACGTTCTTTTCAGGAACTAGATCACTCCAAAGACATGGTGAGCCGTGCAATCATAGATTCCAGGACTCCAGAAGAAATGAAGCATACCCAGTCAATGATCGAAGATGCACAGCTGCCCCTTGAGCAGAAGAAGAGGAAAATCCAGAGGAATCTTCGGACGTTGGAACAGACTGGACACGTGTCATCCAAAAATAAATACCAAGACATTCTCAATGAGATCGCCAAGGTTTCTGGAAACTGTATTCTTTCCTCTTCACTTAGCAGATATTTGCTAACCCTCACCCACGTGCTGAGCACTCTGTGAGGTGACCGGAGGGCGTCCTGGTTGCACATTCTGTGGTTCCTGTACACCTCAACATCATTTTGAAAGGTTCAGAGTTGTTGAGGACTGCTAAGAGAAAATGATCACAACTCCCCCAAGATATTAGGAGAGTTGAAACACACCAGAAATAAGTACTCAGGAATTTGGTCTGTACCTTTAAGCAATACCTGCTAGTTTTTTGGTTTTGTTTTCCATTTCCAGAGTGTGCTCACCAAAGAACCAGAAAAAGAGGAAGCACCCTGCAGTGGGGTGCAGTCATACCACAGTCCACTTTTCTCCATTTCATTCATTCGAGAGATTTTTGCTATGGGCCCTGTGCATTCACTGGAGAGAAAGAGATACAGAAAACAAAAAAATCACACTGCAGGTGTACTGGCCATGCCACAGTCCTTTCTCCTCAATTATCCTCCTGGGATTTTGGATACAACTGCACACACTCCTGGTATTTCAAGGTGCAGGGCCTAGGACTCCAATCATGGCTGGCCATGTGGGAGTCCAGCACCTTAGCTATTACACCACCTGTTGGGCCCCGTCCACATTTCTTTATCCCGTGGCTCTCGAGCATGAGTGTACATGCACACACATATATTTCTATGTGTTTTTCAAGCACCCAGTGTGTTTCTGACTCCACCACAGCCAGGATTCAAACTGCAGTTGGCCGTGTCAGATCCAGCTTCCTTAACATCCAGACCACAAGACTGCTCCCTACTAGTTTTTAAATGATATTTTTCAAAGTTTCCTTATAAGTTATTAGTTATATAACCCCTTTGCTCTTAGGACCTGCCATTGAGATGACAACTCTATTTCTGAGAACGTGTTTCTAAGCAGTTTACCCTAAATAGAGTTCAGACTGAGAAGTTTGTTTCTGTTTTCTCATCCCATATTTTTACGCTTGAGAAACTTCCTGGAAAAAGTATGTCAACTTAATGCAAGGAAACATTACAGGACATGACTGAGGTCTGTTGTCAAGGATAAGGGAGTATATATTTGGGTAAAAAGGAAATTTCTTTCTTTTTATCCAAGCATACAAATATATGTGGGTCTAGAGGTTAAAGTCAGTTAAGTGATCAGAAAAAAAAAAAAAATCTTTTTTTTTTTTTTTGCCTCCTAAGAGAAAAATGCACTCAGTTTCATTCTTCCATGGAATGTTAAGGAAGTTTACAATGCAAGCTTGAGAGTAGAAAATATTTCTCTGGGAATTAGAATATAGAATTGAGAAATTAACATTTTGCTTTAATAAAGGAAAATGGCTATTATGAAGGCATCTGCTAAAAGATTCTATTTATGAAGACTTTTTACTTAAAAAAGGGATATGGAAGTATAGAGACACAGACAGTGTCTCTGTGAATTCCTAGAAGAATAGTTTTTAATTTGTCCAAAAAGAAAAAATAATATTAAGTAGGCACAATTTTCTTAAATGGAAGTCTATTTAAATCCACGTAGTCATTATCGGTATTGAATCATTTCAGCCTTGAGAGCTCAGTTGTTCTTTTGGGCTTTTTTTTTTTTTCAAGCTTTGACAGACACTTGCCAGGAAACATTGTTTTTTGCTTATTTCTAAAATTTTTTAACAATCAATGGTAAGCCTTTTCAATTTAAAGTATTCTTCAATAAGGAATATTCAATATAGTCTGAAGAAATTGCATGTCTCCTGCCGAAAGTTTTTTTGTGCCCCTTTTAAACTCTGCTTTCTTAAAATTATTTTCTGTGGGTTGGCACTGTAGCACAGTGGTTAGGCGGTGCACAGAGGAAGCTGAAATCCACATGGCCAACCAGGGTTTGAGTCCCAGTCCCAGAGTCTTGAAAAACACTCTGGGTGTGCACATGCATGCCCAGGATCCTGGTGAGGTGGAGAATTAGAGGAAAACACATTGTACCAGGCCCCCTTGAGGGGTGAAAGGGGTACTTCCCTGCTCCCCTCTTCTCTTTTCTTTCTCGTTTCTCCCTCACTGTTGTATACATGTACACACCCTCTGAAAATGTATTTATTTGCCTTTCTAGCAAAACAGAAATGAACCTCAGCAAGTTTCTTAACATGAAACGTGGACCCTTTCCAGTTCTGAAGGAAAAAAATATGGTAGAAACACTTTGGTGTCTAGAGTAAGATAAGGGGCCTGAGATAAACTGTAAGGTCACAGTCACTGATAAAGTGACTACTACTGTTATTCTTCTTGACTCAGACTGGCAGTACCATAAAGCAAACATTTGCTTAAATCTCACACCCTTTGCTTGTTGTTTCAGGATATCCGTAATCAGAGAATCTATCGAAAACTTCGGAAAGCTGAGTTGGCGAAACTTCAGCAGACTCTGACTGCACTGAATCAGAAGGCTGCATTTTATGAAGAACAAGTTAACTATTATGACACCTACATAAAAACTTGTTTAGACAACTTAAAAAGAAAGTAAGTTATACCGGGTACATGTACGTGCTGTTCACTGAGGTATTTGTTTGTAATGTAATGACATAGTTAATAAGGCAAGTCGATTCTGCTGCCCTGTTCTGATGGGATGGGTTTGGAAGCAAACTTTTTACTCTATTATATAACCAGAAACTTGAGTCTTAGTTTTGTTATTTGCTACTGCAAAGTAAGAAATCAGGAATGAATCGAGAGTCTTTTCATTCCTCATCAGCACTGGAATTAAAGTAGTTTACCTATCCTGCTATATTTTAAGCAAATAGCATTAATACTGAGGAGCCATTTTCATTATTCCTTTTGTCTTTTTTAAGTCAAAGGTGCTTCTTTTTTTAAGCTATTTTTTAAAATGTTTTTATTTGTTATTATCATTCTTATTATTCTCCAATTTGCTACAGAGCGCGCGCGCGCGCACACACACACACACACACACATACACACACACACACACACACCAAGGACAGAGCAAGAGAGAGAGCGAAAGAAAGCCTCCAAGGCCAGGACTCTAATCATAGTCAACCATGTGGAAGTCCAGGACTTAACCACCATGCCACCTGCTGGTCCCAAAGGTGGGGATTTTTTTGTTTTGAGAGGTTTTCCTAGGTTTTTTCAATAGGGCACATGCACTTGTTCAAGAGGGAAAATGAGAAATAACCTCCAGGGCAATGACCACTCCACAATCCCTTCTTCATTCTCTTGGAATTTTAATTTTGGGCATGCACACACCCACATCTAGCATTATTTTCAAGTTGCTGAGTCTGGGATTTGAATTGTGGTCAGCCACATGGGAGACCAACACCTTAACCACCATGCCACCTGCTGACCCAGATCAAAGGTGCTTTTAAAATGTTACCATGTTTGGGACCAGAAGGTGGCATGGTAGTTGGGTCCCTGGACGCTTCCACAAGGCCAACCACAGTTTGGGTCTGTAGCCTGGCGGCTTGCTTTCTCATTTTCCCTTTCTCGCTCGCTCTCTCTGTCTCTCTCAGTCTCTCTCTAGTCAATTTAAAATAAATTAAATAAATAAATAACTTTTTTAAGTTTATAAAAAACATTAGCATGTTTAATCTTAATATGATTACTCTTGTTTGGGGGATCTTTATTATTAATATATTTTATATACTTGAAAATGGTAGATAATGGCAGATATTTGGTAATTACACATAGCGACTTAAAGATCTGAAATTGCTTAGTGATTTCACAGAAATCATTACTAATGCTGCAGGCAGAATTTGGCAGCTCTGTAATCCATTAGCATCGGCATTATAGATTTTTATAAGCAATGTAGCTGCTTCTACTGAGTATTCTTTGTTATAATTATTCTTCTCATAGACTAGAGTCAGTGCTAATCAAATTTTAAATGCCCATTTAAATATGTAATATAATAATTTCATTTAATCCTTGTCATCAAATTAGCCATAGGAAATGGTGCTGAATGGAAAAACCATTCCATGGTGATGAAGGGAAATAAACAAATGTAAACTTCATATATTTTTATCCCACTGATTCTGAATTTTAATTTGTTTGCTTGGGTCTTATATGTTTATATTTTACACTATTCTTGGGAGAAAGAAGTTGATAAAGCTAATTTTCAGGAGAAATAAAATTATTACATGTTTGCTTTTTTTTTTAAAGGGAGATATTTGCTATAGGGTGCATGTGTTCACCAGAGAATAAGAAGGAGACAGAGAGACAGAAAGTGAGAAACCACCCCCAGGGGGAATGACCACGCCACAATCCCTTCTCCATTTTCCTCTCGGGATCTTGGGCACACACACACGTGCCTGGTGTGAGTTTTAAGCTGCCGGGTCCAGGCCTTGAACTGTGGTCAACTATGTGAGAGTCTAGCCATGTAACTATTATGCCATTTGCTGGTGCCTGCTATACAAATTTATCACAACAACTTTAAGGCATTTTGCAATAAGTGCTACAGTCAGGCGATCTGGATTTGGGTTCTGATTCTTTCTCACATTGTGTGATCTTCAGCTAGCTCATTGACCTTCTCTGAGTCTCCATTTTCTCATCTTTAAAATGGGACTAGAAATACTACCTTCACAGGTATTGTGATGGGAGCTAGATGAAATAATAAACGGGAAAGGAATTTATTAACTTCAAAGCACTGTGGAAAAGCTCATGTTTAAGTTTGAGGTAATATTTGTGAAGCAGCATTTAGAACAGTGCCAGCCATGTAGTGTTCATTAAGTAATTTAAACCAGTCCTGTGATAGCTTTATTTAGGGATACATGGTTCATGTTCACAGCTACTTTTGAAATGATGTAAGATGGCCTCTTTGCTCAATAGGCCTGAGAAAATAGTGTGTAAGTTTAATTAGAGATAATAATCTCAGGCCAGCTCCATGGTCCATGGTTAAGGTAGCTGGAATCCACTTAGCCAGTTCAAATCCCAGACCTGATGGCCGGGTCCAGGCCTCAAGCATGTGTGTGTGTGTGTCCGTGTGTGTGTGTGTGTCCATGTGTGTCCCAAATCCCTAAAGTGATGGAGAAGAAGGGATTGCAGCATGGCCATCCTCCTGACTGGGAGCTTTCTCCTCTCCCTTTCTATCTCTGGTGAATGAACATTCCCTCTGGCAGGAAAAAAAAAAAAAAAAGTGTTAATTCAGACTTTAGTCACTTGAGAAATAGTTCCCTCCCCCAGCTCAGCAGTGAGGTTCTACTGCATGGGGAAAAGTGTTACCTACGATCACAAAATAAAACAGTGTCATTTGGTGCAGTATGGGGTATGGATGGTGGCCTCAGTCTGATCCAGTATTGCACTAACAGAAACACCTGAGTTTTCCATCATGCCAACAGCTGGTCTTCTCATTGTCAGAAACGCCCGGAGATCAATTAAACTAGATGGAAAAGGAGAACCCAAAGGGGCCAAGAGAGCGAAGCCTGTGAGGTACACCGCAGCCAAGCTGCATGAGAAGGGTGTCCTGCTAGGGATAGAGGATCTGCAAACGAACCAGTAAGTGTGACCCGGCATTGCATAGAGCACAGGTACCATCTGCTCGCACAAAATCTGACTCATGTTCCTGGCTTCCCGTGGCCTTTGAGTGAGCACCATTTGGTTTGTCAAAGCTTAACCTTGATCACAGATGTCAAGGGAAGAATGCATGTGTTATCATGGCTAATCTCAGGCCTTCAGTCTGGTGCTGTCAGCCACAGGAAGTGCTGACCAGATGGTTGCGTTTCCCATGGCTGATCCACTGTGTTTGGATTTGCGAGTTTCCCCTCATTCCTCCAAAAGAACTGAGTCCTAGCATTGAGAGTGAAAGCCCATCTTTTAAGTGATCTACCCTTGCAAAACAAAACCTTTCACATTTCAAAGACAGTGCTAATCCTGGGGTCAGAACCACAGCTCCACGCCTGGTACCAAGTGCTCCTTGGGATCATGTGACCAGTACCCTATCTCTCCCTGTCCTTTATCTCAAGGGGAGTGAGACTCTGTGGCACTGGCTGCCTCTCTAATGCCTACCTACCTTCCTGGAAGGCCTGATATTTATTCTATCCATCCCATAATGCCTTCTCTGACTGTACCAACTCAGAAAAAATGTTCTTTTCTACTTCTGAAATTTCTATACATTATCATCAATACTCACCTGGCCTATTAGCAATATAGGTCAATATTTAATTCCTTTGCTCTACAGCTCTCATGGACGTCCAATTACATGTTATGCTACATAAGAACACCGACTATCTTCTATTTAATACTGCATACTTCAGTGTTCAGCGAGCTCCAAGCCCCAGTAATAGCTACTAAACCCACTGTTCGGGAAACGGAGAGAGAAAGATGTTGGAAGGGTTTTGGTGACTTCTGTAGGATTTTCACACCAGACTGTTCACTAAAAATGACAACTTGAGATTCTATTAATTTGTTTAGCTTTAGGTATATGTTTGTAGTTCAGATGTGTTTCTTTCTTCACAGGTTTAAGAATGTTACATTCGACATCATAGCTACCGAAGATGTGGGCATCTTTGATGTCAGATCAAAATTCCTTGGTGTGGAGATGGAAAAGGTGCAGCTCAATATTCAGGTAAGCTGGGATTTCTGCAAATGGGAGGTAGGAGGTATGGGTGGTCATCCCCAACTTCCCTGACCCACGCTGTTCATGACAACAATAAGAATTAACAGAAAACCAAGGCAAGCCTAATTTACCCATACCCATTGTTTAAGTGTTGATGTTTTTTAGAACTGTGATTTTTAGGATTATTCAAACTTAAAATGATTTTACATGACACATCATAGAAATCACTTTTCCTAAGCTTTGTTTCCATTTTGAAGTTTAATTAAACAAAATAAAATAACATAAAAGTATTCATAGCTATTAAACATTGGAAAGTTTCCTTTTATTGGAAACTTTTACATACTCACATTCCTTTCTAAGACTATGTATGCCCAGGACTTGAACTTCCGTTCATGTATTTTCAAACCATTGACCACTGTTCCTGGACTCAAACCACAGTCTACTGTGTTGGAGTCCAGTGCCTTAACTACCACGTCACCTGCTTGCCCCATGTTGCAGGGTTGTAAGACAGCAAATGGCAGAGCTGAGATTGGCACCTGGTCTTCCAAAAGTGAATGCAGTCATATTTTTCTTAGCTTCCTACCTGAGTGCCCAACGAATTCCCCTACCTCCAAGATTCTTCTCAACCTAATCATATTGGTTTAATTATTTTGCAGTAGTCTTTGGTTAACAGCTGTTGCATTTTCCAGAGGAAGAATAAATGTCCACTGTGCTTTAATAGGTAGAAAAACATTCTTGATGAAAGGATTTCAGTTCCCTCAGGAATTTCCATCTCAGAAGCAGAGCTAAATAATGGAGGGCTTATTTGTGTTTATAGTGCAGCTGGAGGTCACTGAGAAAGTGAAGAAGAAACACACAGAACCAACATCTTCTCAAGGTCATATCCACCTTCTGTGCTTGGCTCTGCTTAACCCAGTCTCCAGGCATATTATCATTAAGAATCAAGATATTTCAAGAGCTAAAAATAAGAAAGCGAGCCCTAGGCATGCGTCTAGGGCTTTCCAGGAATGACAGCACCCATTCGGAAAAGGCTTCCTGCCCGTGTTATTGTGAAATATTACCACTGAGGCTCATGCATGTGGCTGGGGTGACTCAGTTTATTGTAGGAAGAGAGGTGACTTCCTTTGTGTATGTGATAGTATGATAGAATGATGGTATGACTTGAGGGCTTGCTCTCAGCCAGGAACAATAGTCAACATCAGAAAGGAGTGGCTTTATACAGTGGTCTCTAAACTTTGAACACACGTGCTTGCTAAATAGTGGGAGTACATTTCTTCATAGACGTATTTATTTGTAAAATGTACATGGGTCTACCACTGTACTGTAGAATGTACTTGCTAAAGTAGAAACAACATTTAAATATTTAAGTAACAAGGGGCCAGCCCTTAGCCTCATAGTTAAGGGAACTGAATCCCTCATGGCCAACAGCAGTTTTTGGTTTTGTTTTACCCTTAGCCTCATAGTTAAGGGAACTGAATCCTACATGGCCAACAGCAGTTTTTGTTTTTGTTTTATAGAGAGAGATTTTTGCTATAGGGCACATGTGCTCACCATAGAAACAGAGAGACAGAAAGACAGGTGAGAAATCACTCCCTTCCCCCCACTGGGGATGTGCATGCATATACACGTGCCCGGTGTGAGTCTGAAGCTGCCAGGTTCAGGACTCGAACTACAGTCAACTACATGGGAGTCCATCAACATAACCATTATGCCATCTGCTAGTCCCTACCTGGCCTGTGTTTTTAAGCAGATAATCTGATACACATTAAATTTCAGGACCCACTCCCCCCTCTAGCACATTAGGTCAATTGAATCTTTAATTTTGGGGGTTTTTTTAGGTTTTTTTTTAGGTTTTTTTTGTTTGTTTGTTTGGTTTTTGCTTTAGGGTATGCGAGCTATACTGGAGAGAGAAAGAGAGAGAAGAAATCACCCTGCCCAATACAGGGGAGGAGGGTTTAGGTTTTTTTTGTTTGTTTGTTTGGTTTTTGCTTTAGGGTATGCGAGCTATACTGGAGAGAGAAAGAGAGAGAAGAAATCACCCTGCCCAGTACAGGGGAGGAGGGTTGATGACCACACCGTAATCCCGTCTCCTCCATTCTCTCAGGATTTTGGACACACATGCACATGTGCCTGGCATGAGTTTCAAGCTACCAGATCTGGGATTCTCAAACCGCTGTCAGCCATGTGACAGTTCAGCACCTTAACCACTATGCTACCTGCAGACCCCAGGAAACTTGAATTTTAATTATGTCAACAAATACATTTTTCTCATTTTTTTTTTAGTGAGTAGAACATCAAAGCTGAGATTTAATCACGTCCCTTCTAATTTCAGGATTTACTTCAGATGCAGTATGAAGGAGTGGCTGGAATGAAAAAGTTTGATCAGGGTAAAG